TCAAGTAAAATAAAATAAAATCAAAGGAATAGATCAATATTTTAGGAAAAATACTTCTTTGCTTTCTTGCCGAGAGATTGATACCACTCTCATGTCTGTCTGCCAGATATGAAGCTAGAGCTAGCAGACAATTAGCTTAGCTTAGCATAAAGACCAGAAGCACAAAAACAGAGTTCATACAAACCTCACACTCCAGTTTGTCTATGAGCTGCTCCAGTTGGTTGATCTGGGAGCCCCAGTGGTTGTCTGGTTCCACACTGACCCCTGACCCAAGAAACACAACATCAGCATCACACAACGCAGGACCTGCCCTTTTAAATGATCCGTATTTTGTCTCACTTATCAGATTTAACGGCAGTATCTTAACTTCAATGTTCCTGAAACGTACCTGTGGTGAGCATGCCAGAGTAGGGGTCAGTAGGGGAGAGACACATGTTCTTCTGGATGCGTCTGCCGGGACGTTTGGCCACCCTCTGGATAGGCAGGTCCTCGGGCTTCTTCAGTATCCTCCTCCCTGTGCAGCCCTGGTCATGAACAGCCTCCATAGCGCAGTCCAGTGATGACTGAAGGGACTGCAGCTGGGTGGAGGTCTCCCTCAGCAGGAAGCGCGTCACAAACTGACCCAGCACTGATGAACCCTGATACTCCTGAATGGAAGAGGAAGGGTAAAAATGAAGGAACAGAATCAGCCATGATGTGGGGAGAACAAATTAAACAATCTCTTCTTAATCATCTTTTCTTTAGTCCAAGAAATGTTTGTGTTCGTAGTTTGTATGTCTGCCTGTTAATCTTTTTCTTATTATATGAACACACAGAGAAATAGCCAGACAACGATTTCTTGCTCATGTTATGCTCATCTCCTCTGATAATCCACCATCTCCTTATTCCCCTAAAACCTTTATTATGAGGTTGTCTGTTCTCACCTTCACACACTATATTATAAGATCTGTATTTATCGGGTTTCTTATTGGAATTTTTTGCTCATAGAAAGCAAGTTCAAACAGCATTATTCCCATCTGCTAAAAGCAAACAAGGAGTAAACACAGAAACATGCATGGTTTAGATAACCTTGAATTAATGAATGCAAAGCAGACATTGTGATAATTGTGTACTGCAGGAACTGGAAAGGGATATTTTGGTAATGTACGGATTTCTGGTGCAGAAACCTATCAGAGAACTTTAACTTTCAGTGCAGAAGCAGCTGCTTTTTTTGCCAGCTAAGTTTTTGTGGATAATGAACCCAGTCACCCTCACCAGCACCCTATGGTGCAACAAAATGGAGTTCTGAAAAAATGACAGCGAGACATTAGAAAAATGACCAGCGAGCTTGTTGGAATCCTTGTTTCTATGTGCTCTGTTTTTTTCGGCTGCAGGTTTAGCCTGTATTTTGGCCTAAAGCTACACAGGGAGTCTTGGTGTTTAGCACTGCTATAGGACCAGTTTCCTTGGTTTGGCAATACGATGTTAATAACTAAGGCTTCAGGATGGCTTAGAACAGCATCTGCTCTTCAGGGCAAAGAAAGCTTTTTTTACTGACTAATAGCAACATGAAAAATGCATGAACTGTAGGATAGGCACGGGTGATATATAGACAGGGAAAGTACAAGAGAAAGAGGAAAAGAGCCAGACAGGAAGACAATGTCAGAGAAGATGGATGTACATTGAAAGGAGATAAAACAGAGAGAAAGAGAAGTAAGCGCCTAAGTGAATAATAGACTGTTTAAAAAAGAGGGAAATAAACCAAGAGAGGAGATTAGAGGAGCTGAAAAATGGCTATGTGTTTGTGGTGCAGTTATGTGGAGGACATCTGACGTCAGATCAGTTGGACAGCTGGGGGGTTTGTCAGCCTTAGTTAATGTCATCTACGCTCTACTATTGCCCCGTGTTCATCTGTAACACCCACTTTCTGCACTGCAGTGAAAATAAGTCGCTGCATACCACAAAAAACAACCTCATTATAAATCCGCATCCACATCCAAGAATGTATCTGCACACAGTCCACACCTGATTCTCTCCCCTTGCCGAACAGAAATAAATATTCACCAGTTGGCTGAATGCTGGTGAGATCGATAAAGAGGGAGCTGAGCTATCGATTATATCTTAGTCGAAGTTCTCTGATGTTGATGTGTTTTAGGTGCATGCTTAAAACAACACAAATTCCTGCCCTGCATGTCGGGGGCAGACACTTTAATCCTCTCTGCGTCTCCTGGAATATACAGTATACGGTGCTGCTCGACCAGGCTTCATAACAGGATTTCATAATGCTCTAATTAGCATGTTTCACAATTTGACTGTGTCTCATTATCTATAAATACATATAAAAAAAAACCTTGGTGAAAAAGTTTTGCTCTTTTGAACTGAACGACATTGATCTCTAGTTTAGCTTCAAAGCCTTTTTTCTTAAATTTACAATTAGGTTGGAAGGAGTTATGAAACTAAAGGCACAAAGGGGAAAATGTGTTATGATATTGGTGTCTGGTTTTAAATAAAAAGTGAAAAAATACTAAATGTAATGTCACACGGACAGATACACTGGTTAACAGCAGTAATAACATACAAAATGTTTCCCAGGGGATCTGGATTCACATTTCAATGTGCATATTTCTGCATTTATGTGTTTCTGCACGTTACATGTTATAACTGAAAGAATATTTTAATGTTGAACAGATGACGATACAGTTAACATGCCTAACTAATGTGGAGTGATATGAAAAATGGAGTGCTGTGACACATGGTTCAGACGATCATGACCCCCTTAAGGATGGATTGTAATAACTTTGGTGATCCATTAACTTTTCCTCTAGCACCATCATCAGGTTCAAATTTTAATTTGCCCAATACCTTGGTTTATGACCAAATAGCGGCAAAAAACGTACAACTAATAGTCAATTAATCAATGAAACTAACTCACTATTATTGTGAGTACTGTACTTGTTTCATTTAGCTCAAAAGCACTGCTGTGCACAGCTTCACAGAACCGCTAGCATGACTATAGCTTATATCTTGTTTGACTGTTGGTCCGAGATGGTGAATTTTTAACTTTTGTATTTTCTAACATTTATATATATATATATAACATTATAAATATATAGAACAGAATATATAAATATATTGTAGTTCAACAGTATCCAAAACACCCCCAATCTACAGTTACATAAATTGCTTTAGATCCTCTATATTGGCTGATTTACAAACACAAACAGCTGCCATGTTTCTCACACCAACAAGCTGATGTCTGTGAACTGTCTTATTAGAAGAGGCTATCTTTAAAAGCATGACTCGTCTTGTAAGGTTCTGTGAGCTCGTGTTTGAAAATGTACTGTGAGTGAGGAGAGGCAGAGCCGATATGGCAGGCAGAGTCAGTCATGCTGGGCAGTTTTTCTTTTCTTCTGTATCACCGCCACAGCAGAGTGATCTCAAAGACCTCTGAGAGGGTTTCAAACTGACAGCTGAGACACAAACAAAAAAGCTTGTCTGAATGCTTGGGGGCATGAAGGAGGCTTACAAATGTTCTGAAAGCCGTTGAAATGGATGATAGTCTGCTGATGTCATGCTACATTTAAAGTATTTCAACATTCAACGCAGTACAGAGGTGAAAGCCATCTTCACCCACCTCTTTAGTTTTATCCATGGCCTTCAAAATGACCACGTTCAGCTTTTCCAGAGCAGACAGGACGTTGACATATTCTCCCAGATGTGGAGTGAAGTACTCTGGAGGAAAAGAAGATTTGTTAAGCACTCGTGTCTGATCAGCACACTGATCACTGATATTTTCCACAAGAAGAACATAAATCAATACGACACTAATGGCATTAATTAGAATTAAAGTAGTTTGGCCACTGATTGCTGAGTCACTGAGAGGCTTGTGGTTGAGTCATCATCAGACAGCATCATAGCTACAGCTAAAACCATAAAATCTTTGGGCTTTTGTGATAATAAAGCTGATCTTATGTATTATATATAATGCTGTGAGGACGATTTTATTAAGAAAGTCAGTAAAATAAAGCGAGAATGATTCATAATTACCTGAGAGTTTGTCTATGTCCAGGTTGCTGAGAGGCGATGGGAACAAGAAAAGAAGTGACATGTTAATTAAAGAGATGTCATTGTGAAGCCTGAAATATTTGCCAGCTTGTCAGTACGCTCTAAAAAGTCTAGTATTTTTGTCTTTTTTAGTTATGGCTAAAAAGCTGCTCAGACGAAGGTCTTCTGGCTGTGGCCCCGAATTAGATCCAGATCTGCTGAGGGTGCCTTCAGTTATTGTGGTCCTGCTCTGGAAGAAGCTGCTTGTGGACCTGAGCTCCATCACAGCTGTGTCCACAAAGAGCAGGTTAAAACCCTTCCTGTTCACACAGGCGTATATTAGTCACTGTGTATCTATGTGTGTGTGTGTGTGTGTGTGCCGGATGGTGATTATGTTTACGCTTATATATTTAGTTTTTGTATTTTAATGTAAAGCACATTGAGTTTCCATGTAATGAAATGTGCTCTATAAATACAATTGCCATTTCCTTTGCCATTTTAGAATGGCTCTAGAGTCAGTCCACCACTTTGGTCCAGACTGTTTGGTGGATTGCCATGAAAGTTTATACAGACATTTATCGTTCCCAGAAAATAAGTCCTGGTGACTTTGGTGATCCTCTGACTTTTCATCCAGTGCCTCCATCAGGTCAAAATTTGTCCAATATTTTATGAGCAAATATGTATTTATAGTAATTATAATGTACTGTAATGTATACTGACTTGATTTTACTGGACAGTGTACTTTGGATAGTTGTGTTTATTAATTCAGTATCACATGCACTTAACATTTCACTAATTTAGAAAAATGGAAAATATGATTTAATTTGAAGTTACCTTTAACATCTAGTTTTAATATTTGACAAATCAATGCAAAGCATTTGCAATTGTTTGTTATATATTTCAAGCTTTCCTGTTCTCTTTGTTCATGTGTTTATACTTTTCTGAAGTTGACAGTACACAAATTATATTAAACTGCACATTTAAGGGTGTACACACCAGGTCATTTTTCACAGTGATTGGTTGGTACTTCAGTGATGCCAACAGGAAACAGTGAAATCTAATTTCTATTTCATCAGTGTTGTTTTCCACAGGCACAGCAAAGAACCTCTTCTCTGGTATTTTCTTGTCATATTTTTCAAGTTTCAGAATCAGCTTTATTGGCCAAGTATGTGTACACATACAAGGAATCTGACTCAGTTTAACTGTAAAGCCGGTGGCACAGGCAAATGTTTGCTTATTTCACAATCTTATTTGTGCTCATCAGTGTGCAAACAGAGTGCTGCAAACTCTGGGGCTTTCACGCCAGAATTAAGGCTCTCTATGGAATATTGATATCATCTTCATTGAAGTGAGGTGTTGACATCTCACTGCCAGGCAGCAGGAGAGCAGGAGGGGCTACAGATGGCAGTCGAGTTGGAGGACATCCAAAAGAAGATGAGCTTACTCTGTCTGCTGCCTGTCAATGGAGTAATACAGCTCCTGCATCTGCTCGTCGGTGAGGATACCATCAGTGAAGTACGACTGGAACTCCTCCAAGGATAGCTTCCCATCGTCTGAAAGAAGACAAACCCGTGCAAAATAAAACCTCACTGAAGTCTAACTTTAATAAAGAGTTTACCCATTATTCTGTATAATGGAACAAAATTAATTCCAGTGATAAGCTCAGAGGTGCTGCAGGTGATGAAAATTCCAAACGTCTGTCTTTATTAAGGTTTAGAAACCTCTGTCAAGGACCAATTTTAGGAAGAACTACACTTAGAAGTCTTTCCCATAAAAACTTAATTCAACCTTGACAGTAATTTCCCCTTCTCCAACTCCATTACTGCAGCAAATAATGTGTGTTGTTGATGATGAGTGATATGATACAGCTGAAAATCCAATTTCTGCTCTTAGAAGTAATAATAACCTAATTGAGCACCACATTTCCTTTATAAACAAGACCATATCACTGCTTTTATTTACTCACTGCTGAAACCTGATACTGAATTTCCTCACAATCCCATAAACACATTTTTACATGAACCAGTCTTATTCCAGTGTGTAGTTCAGAGGATAAATACTAGGACAAGGCGTCTGCTGAAGGTAAGGTTTGCCTCCGATTAGCAGCGTCTGGGACTGCGCGCTGCATGGACTGCAGTGTCCTGAGGAAATTGGGAGCAAAGACTGAGTGCTGGTTTGAGTAGTCAGAGCAGAGCTCAATAGCGGACTAGCATCAGACGATAATGAGATCTTGCCTCCATCGCGCCAGATTTGCTCTGTAAGCACTTAAACCTTCGTAGACCCGGCTCTGAAATCCCCAAACGGCAACAGAGCTCAGACTGATGCCAACAGTAAATCATATCATCTGTTAGTTTGTGAGAACTATTTTGACTTTATGCCAGCTTACAAAGCGCATGGCTCTGTACATGTGCATTTGCAGCAAAAGCTCGTTAGCAAAATGACAAGTTTCCAGAAGAGATTTGTTGTTTCTTCATCACTAATCATTACATAGGGATCATACCCTTAAGATGGAAATCTGTGTGTGTACATTTATTGTGGTCTGGCTATGTTAAACCTCAGCTGGAAGATGGAGCTAATTGAGAAGGCAGAATTATACATCTTTTCTCAAACTTCCTTGTATAAGTCTTCTTTCCACATGATGTAGGAGTAAACACAATCTGTTGCACCTCTGACTCATTCTTCAGCCTTCTTCGTCAGGACTGCTTTGGTGTAGATTCACACCCAATTAGACACCCGAATACAAGTTGTGCAGTGCCGCTCAGATGGCATAATATGCAAGTGTTCAGTGTTTGTGAGAGAGCAGAGCTGCAGTGGTAGAATGGTTGAGCTTCGGGCTATAGACAGTTTGACTTATGTTTTAGTAGTCCTGACTCTTGTGGCTGTGGGAATACAGACTGTTGTCTCCTTAAAACAAAGGCTGAAGTAGAGTGATGCTTTTATAGCTTTTATTTACCTAAACCTGACCAAACCTTAACCACAACTTAACCACAAGTAAACCATATCAGGAAATGCTCATATGGGACAATGACAAACACACTGTGTCTTGTGGATTTGTTGGATTAGTTGACGAAGATTTTGATCATCAGTGACCATTTATTAAGAAAATATAGCAAACATTTGTTGCTTCCAGCTTCTCGTGTAAGGATTTTTACTGTCTTATATACATTTTGAAAAATAGGTGGCAAATAGGTTTCACACATAAATGAATACGGAGATTTTGCAGCAATTGATCCCGAGGCTTCATGACTAACAACTGTCAATCCAACACCTCTGTAGGGAAATTAAAGCGCTGTTCAGATGGATAATGAATCAGTACCTCACGACAGAAGCGACACAGCTTACTAGCTTTAATTGTCTCGGTTCGCACTGAATTAAACTGCAGAATCTCTCCCTGTACTGAAGGTCTTTCCAGGAACACCTTTTCTGGAGGGAATCCTAAAGCTAAAAGTGCTAAAAACCAAAACAGCACCAATAATTCATGAACTGAACAGTGCATTTCAGGAGAATATAACAGATAGGAATAGACTGAAGAGTGAACACTGACAATAAATAACTCAACTAACAGAGAAACATGGTGAAACAAGTCTTACAGAATCTCAACTTTATGTTATTTTTAGTATCACGCAATATAGTTTAAAAACAAAAACACCTTCTGTGTGCACATTTTGTATCTAAAATAGTCAAAGGATGAATGACAGCTGAAAATCTTTCTCTCACAATCTACTCATAGTGCTACTCTATTCCATTCAGAGCTGCAGCACTTTTGTACATCACTGCATCCTGTGAGGATTCTGATGTAGTCTACAATCCTCTCCGCTACAGCACTAAACGCAGCATTAAATAAAACTGCAAGTTAACAAGTATGTGAGACAAAAACCTCTCAGTGATTCTCAGACAAAACCACATCATGCACCTGGATTATGAAGCTGTTTTCCAAATACGATAATAAAAGAAATAATCAGAAATAATCATAAAATAAATAAAGGAAAATAATACTTGTCCATGTTATAAAACTAGTGAAACCAATCACACTTCATAAAATGCATCGCTGTGCTATGACAGTTCAGTTATTTTAATGTAGAAAATCTAATTACGGATTTTTTTGATTCTAATATCTCTGATAACACTTTCAGTTTCATCTTGTTACATTGTAAATCCTTGTTTAGGTCTCTGAGCTCAATGTGTAGCAACATAAATGTATTAGTAACTAATCTCAGCACAAGGCCGGTAAGTAAAGGCTTTCAGTATATATATATATATATA